CTAGCAACAGTTTCAGGGTTTGAATTTTGCTTATCAAGCGGCCATTTTTTCTTCGGAATTGTAAAACTCTCAATTTTGCGAATTTTCTGTAAACATTGATAAATTAATAAAATAATTCAAATCGACATTTCCATGGGTAATATTTATACTATGAACGGTTCATAAACCATTCCTGGGGTATTGTGAGTTACCACAAAACATTTGAGCCCGATTGGTTCAGCCGTTTTGAGGTTTATTGGATACGAATGGACAGACAAAAAAGTCAAACATAGATGCATTAAATAATAATCTTTTTAGTTCGCTATTAAGAAAAATGTTGGAAGCATTATCTTTATTTATAAAGTTGTAATCTCTGTTTGTCTGTCTGTCTGTATGTTTGTTTGTCCGATCATAACTCAGGAACCACTGGACCGATTTGCCTCAAATTTTAATTGGGGAACTCGGAAGGCCCACGGAAATGCTCTTAGCTTAGTTTTAAGATTCTCAGCTGAGTGGGTCGACTTTAATAGCGAAAATTTGGTTTCCCTGTAAAACTTTTTGTAACCTCATGGCAGCGTTGGGTTCCGAATCTAGTTATCAAATATTTTAACAAAACGTTCAAAATTTCGAAATATTTTCTGTCATTCGATATTTTACCGAAATCAATTAATAAAATCCAAAATGATAGAATCTAAAAAGTTCTAAAGTTGAATCGCTTTGTATGATATATCAGGGGTCTAGAATGATTATCATTGATTTATATTTGATTCAACCAATTAATAACGTAGGTCTGTAATACGATTTAATTTCTTTTACATGAATCGCAGAGTTTGACACTGATATAGAAACATTTAAGTTTGTTGACTTACATAAGGAAAATTTAGATTTCCAAGCAAAGGTGGGTCCCCAAACTATTATATAATAAAGAAACAATTATGTCAAGGTTTGGTTAGCCTGGTGTGAGCAATTGGAGGGGTGGCTGCTCGCGGGGTTTTGGAATTGCTTCCAGGGTTTTGGAGTGCTCCAAGGATTTTGGTGTTGCTTCCAGGGTTTTGGGGTAAAATTTGAAAATTTATCTGACCTATTATGAAAAGTACTGCAAAATAAAGAACATAGTTTTCCTCAGATATCTGAATAATTTGAGCATTTTTGATATAGTGCGGGCCACATAGAAGGCTCTAAATTTGACATAGAACAATTTTTATTTTGTGACTGTTGTGTAAAAACGCATTTTTAATGGCACCAACCAATTAAAGATTTTTTAAAGTGAAAAATTGGAAAATACTGAAAAAAAAATGGAAATAAGATAACTTATCAGGATGTTGAGATGTATTAGACCAGTTCAAATTAAACCTTTATTTGTCTAGCAAAAAAAAATCTTCTTTTTTACATTTCTTAATAATCTTTAAGGAATAAGCTAAAACAATTGTCGTTAGTTTTGCTAATCAAAACTATATGATCGCCACAGGCTGCTTGGACTAAAATTAGCTATTTTCTCTTGCAAATATCTGAACAAAAGGGGTAGCAGAGCCCTTTGAGTACCCTTTTTAAAGGACTGATATATTTTCACGTTTTACTTGAAAACCCTGGGAGCAACTCTAAAATCATGGGAGCAATCCTAAACCCTGCGACCAATTCCAAAACCCTGAGAGCAGCCACCCCTCCCTCTGTGAGCAGTATGTTGGATAAATGGTTCCTGGTTTAAATGATCCTATGATATGGATGAGAAGATCAGAATGAATTCTTCTTTATATTGATGTCTAAATCATACAATAATGATGAAATATTGGAATTCAGCCATTTTTACCCTGAATCAGAGTTATTGAGACAAATCGATATATATTGTAGACAGTAGACAGTAGAGAGTAGACAGTAGAGAGTAGACAGTAGACAGTAGACAGTAGACAATAGACAGTAGACAGTAGACAGTAGACAGTAGACAGTAGACAGTAGACAGTAGACAGTAGACAGTAGACAGTAGACAGTAGACAGTAGACAGTAGACAGAAGACAGTAGACAGTAGACAGTAGACAGTAGACAGTAGACAGTAGACAGTAGACAGTAGACAGTAGACAGTAGACAGTATGAGCTGGGTTTGAGGACAAAAAATGATAATTTTTCATCTTGTTCCGAATTTTTGTTTGAAAGTTTGATCTGTCCTGAGATTCCTTATCCTAGATAAACCCGGAGATATTTTGATTAAACATTCTCTAGAAGATTCCTGACTCGGAAACCAAATAGTTTGGCTTTGTATCCTTTGGATTGATTTCAAGTCAATTTATCTATAATCAAAAGTTTAAAGTTCATCTCAGTTTAGACAACCGGAGATGATATTTAGAATTTTTTATTAAAGGGACAGCGAAAAAAAATTAATACAAAATAACCCTTTATCAACCAAACTTTTTCGTTATGGTTTTTTGTTAACAGATTTATTTTCTCGTTCTTTATTTCAATTCCATAAAGTTCTTAACCTACATACAAAATCAACCTACATAATTCTAGACTATTTATTTATTTATATACTTTGCTGTGATGTTTGTAAACGTCAAAGCGGGAGAACCGATCAGGCCCACATTTTTTTGCATCTCACATGTATGACCCCATGCAAGGTTTTTGAATTGTCAAAGATGAAAAGTTTGCCCTGAATAACATCGCAAAATAAGTTCTTAGAAGAAAAATAGCTGATTGAAGAGCAAAGGTTAACATAATAAAATGTTTTCTATAGAAAGGGAGAGAATTAAATAAAAAATTGCATTTTTCAGATTTTGTTTCATCTACTTTATTATACTTAGATTATACCTGCTTTACCACTGTATTTTTATAGGCTTCCTATAAGGGACCCAAGCTAGACATGATTTGAAATATTTTAAATCCTGCCAGTGGGGTGATATTGCAGGTTGTGAGGGTTCACATTTCGTCAATTTTGCAGGTTTTTGTAGAAGAAAATATATACATGATATGGGCTTCACTCCCTATACAAATAACAAACAGTTAACTCTATAAAGACTGGGGCTGAATCTATGTATTGATGGTGGGGGCGTCCCATGCCCCCCCCCCCCTCCTAAAAATACCTTAGAGTAAAGTTATGGAGTTGCAAATACCCTTAACAAATAAATGGTTCGAATGCATTCTAGGAGATTTTTTAAAATAGCAAATAAATGTGAAAAATACAAGTTTTTATTTTTTGACAATTATTAAGTTATCAAACCTTTAGAGTTAGGTGGCAAAAACGCCCCCCCCCCCCCAGCTACCAGTCATATCACTCAATACCCGTTCCCCTCCAAAAAAAGAGATTCTAATTGAAAAGGCGGAAAGGGGGAAGTGGGATGGAAAAGCTGGTAAAGAACATTCGAACATCTTCATTTATTGCTACAACTAATCCAACCATGAACTTTATGGCTTAAATGAATTTACATCGTATCCATGGTTTATTGCAAAACTGCAAGATTCCGTAAATAGGCACTCTCACATCCATATACACGCACATTATTTAATTTGAACCCTCTCCCATATTGGGTTTAATTCAACCTAGTGACTAGAATACAGCTAAATATTCGGGAACACTTTGCATGCATTGAAATTATCAGTAATGTTCAGAACAGGGTTTAACAATAACACTTTAATAAATAATTCACTCCGCAATAGAAGTAGTCTAGCTCAAAACAAGGAAGGGGGAATATTTCATGGGNTATTTATTTAGAAACAGATATAAAAGAACTATGAGGAACGAAAGATATAGTTTAAATTATGCCTGTGAAGAATCTATTTTTGGCATTCACGATGCACGCTGCACATAGTACATACATCACACAGCCTTCTAATCTATCAATTTATGCTCCAGCTTTAATTAGAATAAATAGATACGAGAACTTTGTATTGGTTTTTGTGAAGTGTATACATTATCCATCCCTGGTGATATAAATGGGTTTGGGTTGGGGCGGGTTAGGGGCTAAATAATCAGCAACATGCTGATAACCAAATAACGCAGTAATGAAGGCATTCATTATTCAATATGAGTGTTGAATTGAGCTAGTATGGCTAACTCTGGTTGACAGGTCCTGGAGACAAATTAAGCAAGGTTTTTTTGAAAGCATGTTTAAAGGACCGATCAACTATACACAAATATGATTTGTCCTTAATAGTTCCCTATTCAGATTAAAAGAACACTTCCTTTAAGAAACAAAATCACGTAACCGTTTGAAAGGCTTTAACTACGTTTCCTTACTATTATTTAGTTGACTAGATGTACTTTAAGAAAACTGAATACGGCAGGATGAATAGATAATCTTTTATTATCATTGGGTCTTATATTTAAGATGTACATCATGAACTAAGTAAATCCCTCAAACTTAATCTGTGAAGATATGATGAAGTGTAAATAAGGATTTTAGAATTAGCTCTTCTCTCATATAGTAATCGTGTCAAAATGCTGTGAACGCGATTTCAGGATTAAGCTGTAGTTAAAACAACAAATTTTATGAAGAAAATAGTCAATTTAAAATTCGGTGTTCGTGATGGACCAAACCTCTGTATAGTAAAAAAGTAGATGTTAGTTCCACATTTATTGAAAATATATTTCGGTCTGGGTTGACCCTCGTCAGTTCTAACGATATAATAACCATCAAAATCGATAAAAAAATATAAAAAAATGTTTGTTAAAAAAACACAAGAAAATAAACAAACTAAAAAATTATTAAAAATAAAAATTTGGGCTGTCAAATGGACATAAGGGAAACGAACTCAGAATATCAGATGGAAAAAAGATAATTTGCAAATATTCACTTTAAAAAAATGTTTTAAGACAATTATTATTCCTTTAGATTGTTTCTGTCACAAAGGTTAAAAACAAACTGTTTAGATGTATATTCTAAGTGATGGTGGGGGTCGAACTAATTAACGAACTTTTGTGTAAATCGGGGGAAGGGGGGGGACGGCTTGTTTAGGGAGGGGTATTTAAACCTTTTAAAGAATTAATTACTTTTATTCAAAACTAAGATTTATTCAAATATATTGTTAAAATGTCAACTAAATGAATATATATATTTTATATAAATATATGTATTTGGTTAATTTCAATGAATAGTTCATAAATGTTTAATATTTATATCATAAGTTCAAGCTTTTTTGCTATCAATGTGAATATGTCCTTCTGCTTCTTCATGATCTGAATCTGAATCTGTCTCAAGATCTACTTTAATCTTCTTGGTTTGTTCCACTCCATCATTATCTAGAGTAGCTGTTATCCTCTTTTCATCTCCAATAAGAGTATTCTCTACCTCTAGTCCTGTATCTGGTTGCTCAGTATCAATAGTGATCTTGATACTGCTGTTTTCTCCCTCATCCTCAACCTTGGCCTCAGAGTAAACATCAGCACCCTCGGATCCCAACTAAAATCAGATATTGATTAAAGATTCGTAGTTTTTCAAGTTCGATAGATACAGAAACAATACTAAACTTTACAGACAACTTCTGAAATCTAACTAATTTCTATCTTTTAGAAATTCATTAGGAGAAATTATTTATTGAACTCCTTTACTCTGTTTGTTTTTTAAAATTAACCAGACTCTATAATTTAATTTGATTTGAAAAAAACTAAGTAATGAAAAATGAATTTACCTGGGTTTCCATATCAAGATGATCATTTTCTACTTGAGCATGAACATTCAGATTTGAGACTCCTGCAGTGTTGTTCTCGTCAACACATTCTACTTTTATCTCAAGATTTATCTTCTTTTCCTCAGATTTAGAAGATTTAGAAGGATCTTCAGTTATAGCTTTGGGTTCAATTTTAACAGGTTTCTTTTTGGGTTCTCCAAAGAGAACCTGTGAAAGATTAACAATATTCTCGGTGAAACTAACTTTGGGTTCAGCATTTAAATTTTGGTTCTTGCTGGGTTCTCTCTTCTTTGATTCACTTCTAGGCTTTCTGGTCTTAGAAACATTTCTAGGTTTGCTGGAATTACGCTTCCTTGAAGAACTTCTAGGCTTAGATGAGCTTCTACGCTTCCTTGAAGAACTTCTAGGTTTAGATGAGCTTCTACGCTTCCTTGAAGAACTTCTAGGTTTGGATGAGCTTCTACGCTTCCTTGAAGAACTTCTAGGTTTAGATGTGCTTCTAGGTCTGGATTTACTTCTAGTTTTCCAGGGTTCTCCAAAAAGAGACTGGGAGAGACTAATGATATCATCAGTGATACTAGGAGAATCAACCATCTCTCTCTTCTTCGAAGCTGGTCTAGGCTTGCTGGCGGTGCGGCTCTTGATGGATACACTTCTGGGCTTACTTGGCTTTCTTGATGTACTTCTTGATTTGCTGGGTTTTCTTCTCTTGGATACACTCCTAGACTTACTTTTAACTCTGTTCTTTGAAATACTTCTTGGCTTACTTGTTTTCCGTTTCTTAGACACGCTTCTAGGCTGTTTCTTCTCAGGCACAGTTGTATCTTTGGAAACCGTTGTAGACTTTGGGGTATCTTCTTCACTGGCAGGTTTCGGCTTGCTTTTTCTAGTAGTACTTCTAGACTTTCTAGGCTTTATCTGCTTAGTGGTGCTAGATTTGTCATCAGTTTCATCATTAGAAACTTTCTTCTTTTCTTCTTTGTTAGATTTTTTCTTTGAGCAACAATCCACGCAAGATATTGTAATTATGATAGGTATCACAGCAAAACAGAGGATTAAGGTTGAACTAACAAAAAATGTCCAGTTTTCATCGGTGGAGTAGACTAGTCGAACAAATATTATTCCAATGAGAAAAGTAATTATTACCCACTGGACATACATTGTTCGGAGTAGGATGGATGTCATTCTATCAGACTCTAGGACAACTGGTTCCTCAAATTTAACATTTTTCTGCTCCTTGGATGTTTTAGGTACATGGGATTCATCCACTTTTACTTTCACTCTCTCCATGCTATGGTTGAATGATTACTGACTATTGTTGCGAATTTTTTCAAACATTTTCGCGCATTTTTAAACATTTCTAAATATTAAAAATGTGAAACTTTCTTGAACCATCGGTTATAACTGAAATTCAGAATTGGTGTAATTTTTCAAAAAGTCGTGATCAGGTTTCAACAGCTAGAAATCCTCCCATCATCAGTAAATAAATCATGTACACATGCCAAAAATTTAAAACAAACATCAAAATCAAATTTAAGATCTTGCTTAGCTTCTTCTTTTGTTGTTTAAAAGTTTTTTTTTGCGTTTTTTCATAGAAAAAATATTCCGTGTACATTGCGTTTGTGTTTTGGAGGAAGTACGTTACAGTTTATTTATGGTTCGCATATGCTACGTGGGATCCGTGATCTTTAGATTTGAATAAAGTGTTCTTAACTTTTTTTGGTGTTGAAGCATCTAATGATAAAATCCATCTGAGTTTTCATCGGCCCACAATTGGCTATCTATAATAGATTTTAAAGCTAAAATACCCAAAACTGTCGACATATTGAGCTCAGATGAATTATGTTTGTGAGCGTTTAATGGTTTCTTCGAGACGTTTATTTAAAATTTTTCAAATATTTAGGCTTTGAGAATAGAAAAATACTTTTCATTTGACGCCCGTAAAGGCATCATGAAGAATACAGTATTCTTAGTAGAAACTGAATGGGTATAAGAATGTGTTGGGCAACCTTGGCCTCAGAGTAAACATCAGCACCCTCGGATCCCAACTAAAATCAGATATTGATTAAAGATNTAACCAGTATCATCCCAATACGCAGGAGACAACCCTGCTCATCCAGAACACAAAACTAGTTTGTGGATCTAGAACACAAAACTAATTTGTGGATCCAGTACACAAAACTAATTTGTGGATCCAGAACACAAAACTAGTTAGTGGATCCAAAACACAAAACTAATTTGTGGATTCAGAACACAAAACTAATTTGTGGATCCAGAACACAAAACTAGTTTGTGAATCCAGAACACAAAACTTGTTTGTGGATCCAGAACTCAAAACTAATTTGTGAATTCGGAACACAAAACTAGTTTGTGGATCCAGAACACAAAACTAATTTACGGATTCAGAACACAAAACTAGTTTGTGGATCCAGAACACAAAACTAGTTTGTGGATCCAGAACACAAAACTAGTTTGTGGATCCAGAACACAAAACTAGTTTGTGGATCCAGAACTCAAAACTAGTTAGTGGATCCAGGACGGGGTTTGTCATGGGCTGCAATTCCAAATGTTTAAAGACTCTTTTTTAGGGATTAGTTTGGTTTTTAGTACAGTGAAAATTGTCAAAATTCAGCTAAATATATATCAGAATTTTTTTAAGTTTTGTCCATGGCCACTACTAGATACTAATTTTGTGTGACCTTGGGGCTTTTAATGTCGATTATGTTTTGGTCAATATTTCAAAGCAAATTTCTGCCAAAGAAGCGTTGCCAGTGGAATTTTAGAAACAATTGAAAAAATATTTCGATTTTTGAAAAAAGATGATTTTTTAGTCTTTGTTAACTCCAGGGTATCCACTGGTTCCCTAAAAAAATAAGCATACAAATATAGATACACCTATATATGTATTTATGAGCGAAAAGATAAATTTAATATTAGCATGCAGAGGAAGCAAATGAGAATTAAAGGAAAAATAAGAATACACAGCTCCGGGTTTACTCTATTGATTTGAGGGGGTTTCAAAACCAACTCTGTGACCTTTTCAATTTGGTAAATGATTGAGGTTGAATCCCTCCCTTTTAAACCAATCTAAAATGATTTCATGGACCACAGATACAGGACTTAATTGCAAACATTTCACAAACCTAAAAACAAAAAATCTAACTCTGGTAAACATGAATTGTGGGAGATATTATCGATGGATACCCTTAAAGAATACCACTTCAGAGAAGAAATTTTTTCACTCTTGTTTCTCATTCTCAGCAGCATGTAACCATAACTATTTATTATAAAAATCATCAAATTTTTGTTAAAAGTTCCGCCATCAAATGGTGTCAGTTCGTTATAAAAATCTCGTTCTGTGTGGGTAACCCTGTATGTCTGTTTTATCATATGTCTATGAAGATTAACTCCTTTTTTTCGGTGCATTTGTTTGTTTAATTGCACATTTGCACATTTGCACATTTGCACAGTTTTATATCGTTTCTCGAGATTTATTGTCAAAAGCTTAAATTTTCCATGTCTGTTCATTATTTTCTCTCTGAAGATTATCTTTACTCTTTTAATTCAGTCCAGTCATTCAGTCCAGATCAGTATATAGTTCAGATAAACTTGAAATTATTAAATACTTTTATAAAGAGATTACCCCCCCCCCTTAAGAATATTTCGTGTTAAACTGTTAAACTGGTAAAATATTGAAATGTAAAAACTGCTCACTGCTCTTTTGAACCTTTTCAACGGTCTATCTTAGATTATAAAGTTTAACCGTTTGACGTGTTTTTGCGCAACGTTCTCCGGGTTTTTAATTTTTACAATGTAACGCAAGTTTTTTTCACTGAATGTGGTTAATTCATTTAAATTGTTGTACCNCCCCCCAACTCCTTCGCTCTGTAAATACTATTAACCTTATACCTCTCATTACCCAACATAAAGACAGAATGTTTTGAAGATCACACTGACCCCAGGACCCCTAAAATAATTACAGAATTGTAATAACGTACATAAAAGCGTACATAACAAGGTGTATATTAAGGCAGGCCTTGTCGATACAAACATACATATATACATTGTATTCAAGCTTTGAAGAATGTTCACTACAGGCATTATGGTAAATAGAATCGTGCCTAGGTTTGATTCAAGTCTTTAGTATGCCTTTACTGGGAGCCAAGCCAGGCATTTATTAAAACAATGGGTTGGAATAAAATCAAACATTTAAAAGGACAGATATAAAACAATAAATGTTTAGTTTGACAGCGCGCACACTACTGTTTAATGATTTAGAGTATTTATAAATTAAATTCGAAAGCAAATAATAAGATAAAATTTTGTCAAATTGTTATTTTTAATGTTTTGTATTTATACTCCGATGTTGGTTGTGTGCAGAGTGCATGTATGCGCACTTATTGCTTGACAGCAACGTTTTATAAATGTTATCTGTGCATGCTTAAATTCGATAGGACTTTACGCTCTTAACAAACTTACCTAGCTCCAATCCTATCCTGTTCCTATCCTGCTTAATCCTATCCTTTTCCAATCCTCTTTAATTCTTTTCTGTCCCAATCCTACTTAATCCTATCATATTCCAATCCTACTTAATCCTATTCTGGCCCAATCCAACCTAATCCTATCCTGACCCAATCCTACTTAATCGTATTCTGTTTCAATTCTACGTAATCCTATCCTATTCCAATCCTACTTAATCCTATCCTGGCCCAATCCTACTTAATCCTATCCATTCCGTACAACCAATCCCAACACGCCCAATTCTATCCAAAAAAAACTCAACTAAATCAAATTTAATCCTTTTCGATCTTTATAATTTACCAAAAATCTGACTGATCCCATTCTCAATCATTCAGAACAAACCCAATTCTTTTTAATCCCGTATTTTCTACCTATTCTTCCTAACCCGATCCAATTCAATTTCATCCAATTATATCCTTTTGAATGTCTGTCTACTGTTATTATGTCTGGTGCGGTGGATTGAATAAGAATATGAAAAATCAACCCTGTATTCAGCTCCTAGGACCACCAGGCAGGCAGGAGCAGGTTTAAGCAATCAGATATCTTTATCTTCAAATGATGTAGATACAGAGCATTTAATTTTATATCCCTTAAATCCTCCCCTGCTCCCCCCCCCCTTCCTAATCAGAGTCAAAATAAAAATACAAACATGCCACATGTTTATCAAAATCCAATCTTTTCTTTCAACCTTCAACCATTTCTTTCAACTTTCAACCATTTTTTTAACTTCCAACCATTGTTTTCAGCCTCCAACCATTTCTTTCAACCTCCAACCATTTCTTTCAACCTCCAACCATTTCTTTCTACCTCCAACCATTTCTTTCAACCTCAAACCATTTCTTTCAGCATCCGACCATTTCTTGAAACTCCAACCATTTCTTTCCACCTCAAACCATTTCTAGAAACCTCCAACCATTTCTTTCAACCATCGACCATTTGTTTAAACCTCCGAACATTTCTTAAAACCTCCAACCATTTCTTAAAACCTCCAACCATTTCTTTAAACCTCCAACCATTTCTTTTCACCTCAAACCATTTCTAGAAACCTCCAACCATTTCTTTCAACCATCGACCATTTCTTTAAACCTCCGAACATTTCTTAAAACCTCCAACCATTTCTTTAAACCTCCAACCATTTCTTTCCACCTCAAACCATTTCTAGAAACCTCCAACCATTTCTTTCAACCATCGACCATTTCTTTAAACATCCGAACATTTCTTAAAACCTCCAACCATTTCTTGAAACCTCCAACCATTTCTTTCCACCTCAAACCATTTCTTGAAACCTCCAACCATTTCTTACATTAAATCTCTGGCCTTTTCCTTCAAAATCCAGCCTTTCTCTTGAACCATCAAACTTTTCCTTTAAACTCTAACCGTTTCTTTAAAATTTGCTTCTAGTTTTCAAAATTGAGATATTAAATGAATTTTTAAAATACTCCAAACCTATAAACTTGTTTGATAATCCTTCAATAATTCTCAACTCTAACTTCCAAATCTGACTTTACAATGTGTAAATTATAAACCTATATAAATAGATAGAGTTGTTATATCGGCATTTCTTGCCAATTTGTTGGGGTTCATGCCAATTTATGACTAAAAACATATTTTTATAGTTTTCCAATTAGTATTATAGGGTAAACCATTCCTACATGTCGAGATAGTATCTGAACCTGATTATTGAGACGTAAACCGAAGATTAGGTTTTTTACTCCGTCCTAGGCCGTAGGTTCAGGGATAACCAGGATATACATAGTTAGTATATATATATATATATAGAAGAA